TCATCCTTGAGCCTTTCAGATAATTTAACATCCTGATGTAAAAAGAAAAGAAAACAGTAGCTGCTGAGGCTGCTTGCGTACAATCAAATACCTCATAGAATGTGGTTCCTTAGTTTGAGGTTTAGTATTATGGGTGCATAAAAATGTGTATGTATGTTTATGCACCCATAATAATAAGGAAGACCGAAGAAGAGTTGATACTTTTGAGTTGTGGTGCTGGCGGAGAATGCTGAAAGTACCATGGACTGCTAAAAGAACTAACAGATCTGTCCTGGAGGAAGTGCAGCCTGATGCTCCTTGGAAGCAAGAATGGCCAGTCTTCGTCTCACCTATTTTGGTCATGTTGTCAGAAGGGACCATTCCCTGGAGAAGGATGTCATGCTTGGTAGGGTCGACGAAAGAGGGGGAGGCCTTCAACGAGATGGATTGATACGGTGGCTGCGATGATGGGATCAAGTATAGCGGGGATTGTGGGGCTGGCGCGGGATCGGGCAGTGTTTCGTTCTGCTGTGCATGGGGTCGCTATGAGTCGGAAACGACTCGACGGCACTTAACAACAACAACAACATTATGGGTGCATGGGACATCCCAGTTGATTGGTCTAATACCATGTTGTGCTTCTGTTCTACCTGCTAGTTCCTTGCATACTGCCTTGGTTCTTTAAAACTTGCACATAACCATCCAAGGTACAGCAGTTGGTGCCTATTTGCCTGCAGCAACAAAGGAAGGATAGTCAGGAATGAGAGCAAATGGAATCGATGGCTAATTGCCTCTATAAACAACTGCTTCCTTTGCCATGAGACCAATAGAACTGGATGGTACCTGGCTTCCATTACTGAACATTTTGATTAAAGATTCTATAGAAGAATCCTGATCAAAAGAAAAAAATGTAGAACAGAATTTCAAATTCTTGTGGAAAGCAGATGTTTAGAACCATGGATGCTGGATGAATGCCTAAAGCTTTATTGCCCTGAATAAATCTTTTAAACCGTAACCCAAAAATATTCCCTAAAGTCATCTTAAAATCAAACAATAGTTTAGCTTAACTGGTAAAGACTATCTGCCTTGAACTATGTGGGATCAAAATGACAACAGTAACTTGAAAGAGTAGGTAGGAAACTTAGGGAAAGTGAGTTTGTGTTAATGGGGGATGAATGACTCAGAAAAGGAGGGTGAGAAAGGTTGTGTAACTCTTAAGAATACAATCAGTGTCTCTTAATTGTACATGTAGAAACTGTTGAATTGGTGTATATTCTGCTGTGTATAGTCTTAAAAATAAATTATATACTGATAAAAATGATAAAATTGCCCTTTAAGAAAGTGCTTTTCAATTTTTAAATTCTTTGTGAAAATGTTTTCTGTTGGATGTTAAATTTCTTGAAATTCTTTAGCTACCTAGTGAAGAATAGCCAGGATGTGATAACTTCCGCTCCTTTTTCCTAGTCCTCAGCCACCAGGGCTCTCCTCTCTTCCATTACAGACTTGTGTACTAATACAGCTTCACTGTTTTGTTAGCTTGCATCTACAATAATTCTCCTCCTCCTTTTTAAATCTCAGTAATAAAGGACAATGTAGAGCATTCTTGCAATAGATGCTAATTGTGTTCTTAGTTGGATCTTGCTGTCACAGCCACAATAACTGTGTCATTGTGCCTGAGTGGCCCATTCACAGTGGTTATTGTGCAGAATAATGAGTGCTGTTTACTTGTGATTCGTTGTTGCCTGCATCTGGTGGGTGAGAACACGCAGTCACTGTAATATGCTTGGCGAGTGATCAGACTGGTATAAAATAACATCATCTGTTAGCCAAGTTATTGGTCACAAAGAACTATTGATAGTTTTGTTTTTAATGCAGAATTTTTAATGAAAAGATTTGAATCAAAGAGATTAAAGATGTGAGAGCAGCTACCTAGTGTGTGCTGCACAAAAAAACAAACCAAACCCACTGTCATCAAGTTGATTCCAACTGACAGTGCCCTTCAGGACACAGTAGAGCTGCCTTAGGGGTTTCGAGGTTGTAAATCTTTACAGAAGCATACTGCCTCATCTTCAGTGGAACTGCTGACCTTTTTGTTAGCAGCCAAATGTTTTAACCACTATGTCACCATTAACCCTATTTATTTTTCAGTGTAATTTTGGTTTCAGTTTACATATATAGAAGTGAAGGAACTGCCAGATGTGCTGGATATGTTGTATCTGTGCTCTGGCTCATTCTGAGAAGAGCTGCTTAACACAGTACATTATATGTTGAATATGTGCAGTGACTAAAATCAAGTGAGAACTAGGCTTCACGATGATGTCCCCTTTCATGAAACTTACAGATCCCAAAAGCATGATCATTCTTTCACCTATATAAGGAAATGACTCTTGTTTTTTTAAAATATAATTGGCAGAATGTGATGGTACTTATGTGAAGAATCTTTGCAGAAGTAAAAGGAAACATTTTACTCTTAAATAACCTTGATAGCATTTTTGCAGGGATCGTAAGAATCCCAGTTTTGGAGTTGATTATTTTCTTGACTATCCACAACTCATAGTTTCTCTTTTTATCCACATACTACTTACTTTTCAACTGGTTGACTATTTATTTATATTGCTCATTTGAAGTGATCTGGGGGATGCATTTTAGTGTCCTTTTTATACTTATTCCTTAAAACTATGTCAAATTTCCAACAAATACAAACCAAGCTATTGGTTAAAGTGAAGTTTAACCTAATTCATATATATATATATATATATATATATATAAAAAATCTCTCCCTCTGGTGTTGCTTTGTACATGGGTTAACTGATTGCTGTTCAGAAAAGTGGATTTTGACACAGTGATTTGTATCCTGTGAAGGAAGAGTAAATAGTGTTTGGTGTGATTTATTCAAGTTTTTACTGTCTAGGGTCTTTTCCATAATCCCAAGAACTTAGATATTTTGAGGGGGGTGGGATATATTAATTAAGACAATTGAGATAATGTAAGATTTAGATCATCAGTCCCATTGCAGATAAAATTACATTTTTTCAAATCCCTATTTTACTTCAATACCAAGATAGTATTAAAGTAATAACATGTATAATCCTGTCTTTAAAACTTACTTAGATAATGCATGCTCATTGCATAAAATTTGGAAATTATGTGTATTTAAAAAAAAAAAAAATCCAACAGATCACCAATAATCTTGGCACCCTGTCATGTAAATGAGTTACTGTTAGTTTTGGTGTGTATATCCTTTTATGATTTTGTAGTCTATTTTCCCGTAAATCTTGTTCTGGACAAAAGGCCATTCATAAATGTAGTAGTCATTTTAAATTTTTTCTCTATTCCAAGAACAAATTTCCATTAAAAGACTTTTTTTCAACATTTTCTGATATCAAATGGGTAGGAAATAAACTTTAGATAAAAATAGAGGGTTACACATACTCAAATACTTAATATTAAGGACATTTCCCACAATTTCTGAAGATTACAAGTTTCTCTGAATTTGGTTTGGAACATCTTTTTTATTGTTACAGAACACTTAAATCTTGGTTCTGAAGTAGAAAATAACAAACACTTGTAATGTAGAAATTTAAATAAATTTTAATTTTCTTATACGCATATTGGTTTTATCAAGGTGAGCCTTATTTATTTTTTCTTAATGGAGTTCTAAATAAGACTCTAGTTCACAAATTGTCTATTTTTCCATAATTTTTTCTATAGCTAAATGTATGTTGGTTAACACAGACTTATGAGAAGTTGCTTTGTCTTTCCATTTTTATTTTAATCTCCCCTTACTACCTGAGACAAATAAACATCTGCTTCCATATAGCTAACTACTATTTTCTGCTTCTGTGACAGCTAGCCGATGGCGGAGTCTCTTCTCTTCACCTGTCTCATTGGCTTTTCCTTATAGTCCTGTTGCAAGACTCAGCCCTTATAGCAATGGCATTAATACTCCCAGCTTCTCTAAAACCTCAAATAAAGCAATACTAACACCTGAAAGAACAGGTAATATTTCAACTTCTTAACTAGCTGTGTGCTTTGTAATGCTTGTCACTAAACATTCATCTTTCATTGAAAAGCTTGCCTGTAATCTTACTATAATGGAGAGTTAGTGTACACTTTGAGTACAAAAGGGACAAGCCTTAATTTGTACTCAAGACACCACTGATCTACTGCTCTCAAGTGTGGGTAGTAGTCAGTCTTCCCTCCTTAGCAAAAGAATATGTATGTAGTTATATGTTTCCAGATGTCTAATATGTTTTTAAAATTAAATGTCAGAACACAATTTAGTTTTTATTATGATTGAAGTTGTCTGTTAGCCTTTTATATCTATTTTTTTTTAAAAATTATTTTTCTAGTAGCTTTTCATAAATCAAGGATTATGTAGAAAAAATAATCATAGTTGCTTTTTATGAGATGAGGGTCTCACCATTACTTCCCTCAGCATTGGTGTGATTCCATTCCTGAAACCTTCTGTGATTTGGATCCTTTCCTCCTTCATTCTCTTATCTCAAGCCATTGCTTTTTGTGTTGATGGGTGCCCACAAGTCTCCTATGACCATTCATTGCTCTAAAATATCAAGGTTTTATTATTTCTGTTCCTGTGTATGAATGTGTGCCTTTTATGTGTGGTATTCTTAGCTATTTATAGCACTACTATTTGTATCTATTACTATTAATGAATAGACCAGATTAAATTCTGACTTTAAAATATGCAGTCAGTTACGCCAAAGACAAGTATGTCTGATTTTTAATTGTATTAATTGAAAGTGTGCATGGATATGTATTCTTATACCATCCTTTTTTTTTTTTTGTTTGTACAGATTTTAAACATGTGATGGTACTTACTATTTGGTCTTTAAATGGTGATGTGGTAGTCATTCTTCTGATGTTATGAAAACCTAGGACAAAAAATGCTGAGTGTTTATGTGAACTATATACACTTACATCAGTTCTGTATATATATATATACTTAAATCAGTTCTTCAGTTCTTTAGTCTAAAAAGCATTTTCCCTTTATTTCTTAGGTTATACTTCCAGGGGCTCCCCACTCAGTCCCCAGTCCTCCATAGACAGTGAGCTGAGTACTTCAGAATTGGAGGATGATTCCATCTCCATGGGATATAAGTTACAAGACCTCACTGATGTTCAGATCATGGCTCGTCTGCAAGAAGAAAGTATGTTTCTTTTAAACTGGAAAAATGAGACTTCCATTTGAAATAAAAGGGGGTGGTTTAGGCTTTTGTGCCCAGGTAATGGACAAACACTTAGATTCTTTATCTTATTCTGTCCTGCTTTGTTAGGTGGAGCAGTCATCTGCTTCTCCCACTCTCATGAGCATCATAAACTGTTAAGATTTATTATGATCAATCCACATACACTGATAAATAGACATTGCTGGTACAGTCATTTTAGAGAACCGTGTGGCCATTTCTGCACACACACAAAAAAACCCTAAAAATGCAACTTCTATGCTACCTAGCAAATTATACTCTTGGATGGACATTTATCCCAGAACAAGAGAAATTTATGTTTTCATAGAAACTTGTACACAAAGCTTTGTTGCAGCTTATTATTTGTAATAGCCAAACTGGAATCATCCCAGATGCCTTTAGTAGGTGAATGGTGAATGGTTAAACAAACTGTGGAGCATCCATATCATGGAATACCACTCAGCAATAAAAAGAAAGGGAATATTGCTTAAGGAAACATCTGGAGTGAATCTCCACGAAATTATACTGCATGAAAAAGGATAATCTCAAGAGGATGAATGCTATATAATTCTATTTATATAACATTTTTGAAATGATAAAATTTTAGAAAAACAAGGGAATTTAGTGGGGGTGGGAGGGAGGTACATGGGCTTACCAAAGGGTGACACAAGGATTTTTTTGGTGTTGGAATTGTTTAGTGGTGGGACGTATATGAACCTCCATGTGACAAATTGTGTAGAACTTAATACACATGCACACATGAGTAAAACTGGGGAACTCTGATTAAGATGAGTGGATTTATTGATATCAGAATCCTAGGTGTAATATTATATTTTTGCAAAATGTTTCCATTGGAGGAAACTGAGTAAAAGGCACAAGAGATTTCTCTATATTATTTCTTACAACTGTGTGTGAGTCAATAGTTGTCTTAATAAAAATGTCAATTAAAATTATATTGCTGTATTTCTCAAGGTAGATAATTATGGATAAGTAGATAATTAGAAATTTCACAGTTAATCACTGATTCTTCAATAAAGTTACAACAAATAATCTGGGAGTGAACTACTTCAAGGGCATCAGTTGTATCAAAAGGCACGATAAGATGTTGATCCCAGAACTGGGCTCTGCTTGTTTTGAAGTTATCTTTTCAGACCAACCCTAGAAGAAACAGCCAAGTATCAGTTTCACTTGAACAATTTCCTATTCTTAGAATTAGTCAAGGTCATTATGAGAAACATTGTAAACAAGGTGTATGAGGATTTTATAAGATACATTTTGAGGGAAGTGACTATTTGATGTCATTACTTACTAACAGTAAATTTAAATCATCTTTCTAAATGGCTAAAAAAATCAGATGTCAGTGTCATGTGACACTTTGCATTTTTAAGTAGTCAGGGATAAAAAAGAAATTCAGGGATAGACAACTTTAAAAAAAAAAATCATGATGTTGGCAATGAGATAAAAAACTAGAAATTTCTGGTCTGTACTGTTTTCTAACAGTTGCCATTTAGGATGACCCAAATAATTGAATTTAGAGTATCAGCTTGCTTGAAAGAGATAATGTTAGTGACAAAAATAAACAAAAATGAGGTGACCTTGTTAGAAAATACTTGTATCTCAGGTTTTGATTTTTTCTTTGGCTTGAAAATTCAAGTAAGGTTGAGAAGTAGAAGTAATTCCTACTTGGGCAGAGATTTAATATTTTAATTTTCCTAACACATGTTTTTAGGTGCACTGGAGTTGGTTCAGATTCCTTGCAACCCCATGTACAGCAGAAATGAAACACTACTGGATCCTGTGCCATCGTCACAATCATTGCAATGTTAGAATCCATTGTTCCAGCCACTGTGGCAATCCTTCTCATTGAGGGTCTTCCTCTACTCATAACTAACTCATAACAAACTATTTATAGTTATGACAAAGTTATCTTAAGTAGTTCTCAAGATCTGAGAAGGGGTTATTTGGGGAAATTGATATATTTTTATATAAAGTGATAGCACATATATTAATCTTCAATGGGATTGGGGCAACTTGTTTACAAAACAGAGTTCTCTAGTAAAGACATTTGTTTGGTAGCTAGATGTGTTTATTTTCTTGGAGTTTAATAAGCTAAGAACTGAGATGATACGTCTCTATTTGAATCATTTGTTTGGTACAAATTTTCCTCAAAGACACGATTAATAACTATTTAATTTTAACTAGATAAAACAGCTTACAAGAGAATGCTATTTCTTACTATTTTATAGGTCTTAGGCAAGATTATGCTTCTACTTCAGCATCTGTGTCAAGAAATAGTTCCAGTGTGTCATTGAGTTCAGGAAAAAAGGGGACATGTAGTGATCAAGAATATGATCGATACAGTCTGGAGGATGAGGAAGAATTTGATCATTTGCCACCACCTCAACCTCGTCTTCCAAGATGCTCGCCTTTCCAAAGAGGAATTCCCCACTCACAGACTTTTTCTAGCATTCGGGAGTGTAGGAGGAGCCCTAGTTCCCAGTATTATCCTTCCAGTAATTACCAGCAGCAACAGTATTATTCACCTCAAGCCCAAACTCCAGATCAGCAACCAAACAGGACAAATGGAGGTAGGTTCTATTGCCTTTTTGATGTTTGTTATGCTTTTTAATCTTTTATATGTGGTCAAGAAATGACTTTAAGGTCTGTGTAAATAATTGGCAAATGCTTGTCAGATTTGTTAAATTCCTCATCAAGACCTTATTAGTTTGGTCTAAATTTACATCTGTAATTAACCATTCTGATTATATGTCTGGATTTATACATTTATAGCTTTAAGGAAATCATCATGATGTAGCTGGCTGAAAATGAGTTATAAATGTGGAACATTCCGCTTTTGGATAGTACAGCTGAAGGTTGTGCAAGATTGTGCACTTTGAGGAGTTGATGGAGGAGCTCTGTGGAGTTAAAGGCTCTGTTTCATCTTTTCTCACTTTTCTTGAAATATTCAGTCTGTTACTGCCTGTTCCTGTTCCTGATGGAACGTGAATGATGGTGCTTGGAATAGAAGCTGCAGGTGCACATTCAGATTTATTGGTAGTTTGGGATATGTCTTTCTCTATGATTTCCTGACACCTAGAGTGAAGTTCCATATGTAGTGAGCTGCCATCAAGTCACTGTATGCATAATGAAATTAGATGGTTATCAGAGTTTTAAGGTCAATATATAATTTGTTGACTGATTTTCAGAAGTAGATCACCAGGCCTTTCTTCCTAGTTCATCTTGGAAGGGCCAGTGGACCCATTCACCATCATAGCAACATGCAAGCCTCCAGTCACAGACAAGTAGTGGCTGTGCTTGAGGAGAACTCAGGAATCAAACCAGGGTCTTGTGCATGGAAAGCAAGAATTCTACTGCTGAACCACCACTGTCTTCAAGTTCTTTATAGCAGTATGTATCTTTAGGGATAATGAGGCTGACAGCTGGAATGGTAATGGAAGTTAATTTGTCCTGCAGTATATAGTCAACATGGTATGTTGGAGTGACATTCTCTTTTATGTTATTATTTATCTTTCTGTCTACTTCCAGGTGTTAAACTCTTCAGTTTCTAAGAACTATAGAAAGAACAGCATTTAATTTTATATTACAGATCCTGTAACATTCTAAGCCTGGATATATTTTTATATTAATAATCATTCATACCCTCAAACATAAATCACATAGTATGTGGAGAAACAAAACACTTAAAAATAATTCATATGTATACAGTTAAAATTTTAAGTTGTTATCAGACCAAATTCATTTTCCATACAGCAGTTTGTACACATTTTGTTTCATGACATTGACCGCAGTCCCTGCGATCCAACAGCTTTCCCACCACTTCCTCCCTGTAGTTACCTCTTACCACCATTTCTTGAAATTAGGCCCAGGGTGACCAAATAGGATATTTTAAAATATTGCAAGGCCAAATAAAAATTGTATTAGTTAAATGGTTGACAATTATCATGTTTTTAGTTTTTACTTTTTCTCTATCTGTTCTTGTATCTTTCATGCTAATTGAGAGATTTGAGAATATTTATAATTTTATATTCATTATTTCTCTGATTATTTTAGTACTTTCATATTTTAAATGTAAAAGAAAATAGTAACAGCCAAAGCATATCATAGTTACTAATTTCAAAATATTAGAAGATAGTATGGTCCATGAGCTTAATGAAATTCATAGCCTCATATTAAAATTAAGGTAGAGGACGCCTAGAATTATTTCTCTGAAGGTTTTTTTTCCTTTTAATTTTTATTGTGATTTGGATGAAAGTTTATAGACCAGATTCATTTTCCATACAGCATTTTATACACATTTCGTTTCATGACACTGACTGCAGTCCCTGCATTGCAACAGCTCTCCTCCCACATCCTCCCTGTGTCCTCTTACCTGTGTCCTTCTTTCCTGTGCATTCCTGCCCCCTGAGCTATCTCCCTGGGCAAGTACTGCCCTTCTCTTCCTCTGTGATTGATTGTTCTAAGCAGTGTATCTACCTGGTGTAAATGTTCACCCTGTATACTTGTTTATTGTTTGGCTGGAAGCCATGGGAGTGAGTTCAGTTCCACGCCTGAGGGGTAACTAGAGTCCGTAGTCTCAGGGTTTCACCAGGCTCTATCAGACCAGTAAACCTGGTCTTTTTTATGATTTTGAGTTTTGCTTCACATTGTTCTTCCACTCTATCCAGGATTTCCTGCACTGATCCCTTTCCAAATGATTGACAGTGGTAGCTGGGCACCATTTAGTTTTTCTGGTTCCCAGTCATATAGGCTAAGGTTCTCTTGGTCCCCTAGTCCCATGGAATAATTGCTTCCATTCATCTTTGGTTTTCTTCATTCTTCTTTGCTTCAGTTGAGGAGAGACCAATTGTTGCTTTTTACATAGCTGCTTGTAAGCTTTTAAGACCCTAGTTGCTAGTCACTGAAGTAGGATGTAGAACAATGTTTTTGTGTAGTATGTTATGAGCTTGATATCCTCTGTGACCGTGGTCATGAGCCCATAGGTCCAGCAACTCACTCCATCAGGGTGGTTGACTGTAGCTAAGAAATTAGCATAGCTTTGCCCCCTGTTAATTCTATTTATATGGTATTCTTGCAGAGCATACTAATACATATGTAGAAGTATCGTCTGCCAACCTTATATATGGTAATGGGTATATTCCCTTTTGCCTAGACATACCTGATCATTCAGCCTGTCTATCCACCTATTTATCCATAGATTGTTTGTTATCGCTGATAATGCAGTGTTGGATACATAAAAGTTTTATCTTTGTTGTCTGTACCTCTTGTGCTCTCTCTGTGTCTTGTTTTTGTTTAGTGTTACTATGCTGGTCACTTGATTTGGTATATTGCCTTTCCCTTCACTCAAATCAATACTTGTCTCTTACTTAGCTACCAGTTTTCCCTCTCTTCCCCCTCATCCCTGGCAACCAACAAAGAAAGTTTCTCTGAAAGTTTTTTTTTAGTCAAATGTTTTAGAATGTCATATTCTAATGATCAGGCATATGCTAGCTTTGCATCATGATTAGAATTGTCAATGGGATAATTTTCCTCTGCTCCACTGTTTGTTCTAAGATGTACCTCAGGAAAGTGGTATTAACTTTCATTAAACACCATTATAAAAAGGGTTAGGTTACCCTGTAGACTGTGCTGTGATAATTCCCATTAGGAAAGGAGACACATACCACAGTTTAGGGTTTACTTCTAGTAGTTTTACTTTTCCTAAAATCTCTGATCTCCACACCAGAACCAAAACTAAAACCAAACTGACTGCCATGGAGTCATTTCTGACTCATAGCTACCCTTCCTTGGGTTTGCAAGGCAATATATCTGTGGAAATAGATTGCCCATTCTTGCTTCTGAGGAGTGGCTGGTGGATTTGAACCTCCAGCCTTCTGGTTAGCTGTCAAATGCCTTAGGCATTGTGCCACCAGAGCTCTCCTAATCTCTCCATACAAAATAAAATGTAGTACAATGGCAGTTTTCTGGGTGGGCTTCTGACTAATTAGCTTGATGGTTAAGAGCACAGGCTCTGAACTCCAGTATACCTTGAGTTCCTGTTCTATTATACCACTTATTTATTTATATCTTGCACAGGCTTCTCAAGTCTCTAAACATTAGCTTCCTTAGCTGTAAGATATGGATAATATCTACTTCTTAGAAAAAGAGCCCTGGTGACATAATGATTAAGTCCTCAGCTGCTTACAGAAAGGTCTAAGGTTCAAACCTGAGGGAGAAATGACCTGGCAATCTGCAAGGATTGATTTTGACACATAATGACCCTGTAGGGCCGGATATTACTGCTCCAGAGTTTCCAAGGCTGTAGCCTTTATGGAACCAGACTGCCACATACTTCTGTCTTGTGGAGTGGCTTGTGGTTTCAAACTGCCGACCTCTCAGTTAGCAGCAGCAGGCTCTTAACCACTGTGTCACTGTGGCTCCTCTGCAAAGATTATAGCCTAGGAAACCTTACAGGGCAATTCTACTCCATCATCTAAGGTTGCTATGAGTTAGCATTGACTAGAGAGAAAATATGGTTATAATTTCATATCAAACCATCTGGCACATATTCTCCCAGCCTAGGTTTGCTCTGAGGAATAAATGACAATGAATGTTATATTGCCTGGAGTAGAAGTACAGAATATAGGTTGCCCCCCTTTTTTTGTAACTATATGTTAAAATATGGTTGAGATATCTGAGCTTTCTTTTGTTACCACAGAAAATTATTTGAACAGAATTGTGACAGAAGAATGATTACTTAAAGCTGACCTTGAAACTGATCTATCAAACATGTTGATAGGTTACAAAAGTAGTATAAATAGAAGATAACTGTTAAATCATCATTCAGTCTTTAAATAACTGAAAATAAATTAGAAATATATATTCAGTGCTCTCATATTTCCTACAATGTCTGCATTCAAAAGAAAGAACCAAAAAACAAACCAAGCCACTGAATTGATTCCAACTCACAGTGACCTCCACTGGGTTTCCAAGATAAATCTTTACAAAAGTAGATTGCCTCATCTTCCTCCCACAGAGTAACTGGTGAGTTTGAACTACCGACCTTCTGGTTAGCAGTCAGATGCCTTCCTTACCCACCAGAGCTAGAGCTCCTTTTTCAAAAGAAAGAGGGCTCTTAAAAGTTCTTCAAATATTTCCTGGAGTCATACAATTAAAAGGAATATAGTATTTGGAATAATTTATCAGACATCAAAAATGACCAAATCTTGCAGAATCATTACTAACACATTCTGTAATTTTTAGGATTGATATTTAAAATGCCAGGGTTATTGCTGGCAGAATGTAGATAGTGTTAGGAGCCTGAGGCCCTCCCAGTACCTTGTCTGGTCTGGAATGAGAGATCTAGCTGTTTGGTCAGTAAATGAATTATCTCCTATATTCCTAAAGATTCTTTAATATAGTCTTGATGCTTCTTTGATAATGAGAAAATTCATTTTCATTCTTTCCTTTACCTATTTGTCCAGTTTCCTGCTGGATCTTGGTTCTTGAAGATAAATTGCTGATTTCTGTGAAGATCAAAATAGAGCATTTATTTTGGTTCCCTGAACTTTAACATATATATGGCTATTAA